CTTAACGATCAGTCCACTGCGGGACAATTTTTTCTTGGAACATTGAAAACAGGAAAATTAAGGAAATAAATAATAAAAAAAGGTTTCTTAATTATGCATCTAAATTTATCAGCAAATTTAAAACAATTAAAAAAAAAATTTCATGTTTTATTTAAAGTCGTACCGAAAGAAGCGCCGAAACGTTCACAGGCGCTTGAAGAGCTTTAATTGCATGCAGTGAGAATGGGCTAATTGTGATGACAATTAGAACATCACTATGATAGCTAAAAGCTAAAACCTCTCGTATAAGAACATAACGAAAGAATTCCTTTATCAACACATCCTTTCTGATTCACCGGGTTACCAGCTTTGAATTTCATCTTTAAATTGTGGATTTAATTTGATTGCCAGGGTTATTTAGTGGAAAAATTTTATAAGAGTCTTTTAGGTTATAAATATTTTATGAATCTTTTATTGTTTTGTGCTGCTAGTTTTTTGAAACAAAATTACTTTTCACGTAAAATGTTTAGAAATTTGATGTGAAAAAATGTGATAAAAGTCACAGTTTTAAGACGTAATGATGTCACCAACTAATCATATGAAAGATTAGGGAACTGTTTGTATTTCTTTGGCGACAATTTTTTGCATGTATGGGGCAAATTGTTCATTCAGCTGGCAACCCTGCTGAAATAATATTTCAATTCGGTTTCAATCTATGTGATGTGTCATATTTTAGAATAAAGTTTCTTGAATAATAATTGAAGCATTTTTATATCTTATGGATGAACTAATTTTTTTTATGAATGGTTGATGGTAATCTTTTTAGCATATTCTATTTTAGAAAATTCAACGGTTTGAAATTGAAAAAACAAAGCGTTCCTTTGACTTAAGTTATATTTGAAGTAATTTATCACATTTCGCCATTATTTTTGCGAATGGAAGTGTAACGTTATCTTCAATATTTTTTTATTTGATTTATCACTGCAAGTCTGTTTTTTTTTCCACTTTATATTTGTTATTGAAAATTCATTGGTACATGGGGTTATTTCTGTTTCTGTTTGCGCCTATTAAGTTGTTGTAGTTCATTTACGTCGCACTAGAGCTGCACAATGGGCTACTGGCGACGGTCTGGGAAACATTAATTAATAAGCCTATTAAGTACAGTTATCAATTTGATAAATTAATTTTGAGTTTTCAAACCTATTTTTCAAAAAAAAAATAATAATAATTTGTTTTGATTTGCGAGTGGTTAGTGGAACAAACTCTAATGGGATAACTAAAGAGTCATGCCATTAGAGTTTATTCTTTTCTGAGATGTTTTTTTCAGTTTCTCACGTGTCATAACCCAGAAGTTTTTTAAAACTTCATTCAAATACCAGAACGAAAATCTTCTCTGTATATTACTGAATTTTTTTTATTTTTATACCGTTTCTGCTATAAACTTATCTTATGTAAATATTTCATTGAATCAGGCATTATATTTTGATAAGTTTGTGTTTCTCACATGATTTATAATCTTATGTCTTAATAATTTAACTTTAGGATTTAATTTCAATTTTATGTTAGAAAAGAAAGGGTATCTTTTTCCTTAGATCAGATTTATTAAACTGTAAGTTGAGTTTGACGTAGATGTGCAGAAGCGTAGTTAATAGGTTTTTCTTTTGAAAAAATGAATTAGTTAAGAAAAAAGAAGTAGCATAACAAGTAAAGGTTAATAATACACACACTATGATGTTAGATAATGTATTGGAATTAATTTATTGTACTGCTGTATTTAAAAAAAATTTTATTATTGAATCAAAAAAGTGATTTAGATAAGAAAAATTTGAACTAATTGTATTAACTTTTTAGAAACTGAATCGTTTTGAAAAATTAAATAGGGGATATGTAACACAGTCCTGAAAAGTCCTTAAAATCTGCTTAATTTTTATTTTGGAAAATAAGGACCCTTAAAAGTACTTAATTTTGGTGCAAGGTTTTTAAAAGTCCTTAAATTTTCAGTATCACTGTAGCTGATCGAAACAATTGTTCAGTTCAATTTTTTGAAATGAAAAGTCGTTTATTTATCACCTAGAATTCGACTGTGCATCAAGGGTAGAGCTTTATAAGGCGACAGGAAGGGATGTGTGTGAGAGAGGGCTATAGGCAGGGGGAAAAAAGCATGTCCTTTTAATAATAATATTCTGCCTTTTGCCTAGACTGATACTCTATGAGGAGAATGAAGCATTCTAAAAGAAAAGAATAGAGTGTATACAAGGGAAATACTGCACATGGAAGAGATATTGTTTTATTGGGGGAGGGGGGGCAGTTCTAAGGTGCTTAAATAAAAGACCCACACTAACCACAATATAAAAACTTGTTGAAATAATTTGCTCAATGTTATAGACAAATTTTTTTATTTACTCTTTTTTTTAATGTTATGAAGAAGGAATATTCAGGGGTGCCAATTTAAGTGGTGATGATGGGTAGAATATCAGGTGAGGTGGAGTTTGTATTTAGTATAGTGGACTAGTTGAAGATATTGACAAATTGAAGATTGATGCTGAAAACAGAAGATGATGAAAATAATAGTTGAGCCGGATTAGAATTAATAAAAAGCTTTTAATTTAATATATTTGCAGAGCTCGAGTTACAATATATGAATATCATTCATAAGGATTTCAGTTGAATCAATTTTTGCATAATAATATTAATAAGGACAGGCCATGGGAGACAAATCCCCCACAACCTGCCTAATCAAAAGCCAAATTAAAAAGTACGTGTAATTTGTTCCGATCGGACACAGGAGAAGCATGGGTAGGAGATCTAAAATTGGCGATCTATTAAAATATTATAGCCAAAACAAAGCCAACCAGCCTATCAATATGGGTTTAAAAGAATACCTTGGCGATCACGAGTCGCCAACAAACTTATGTGAATTATTACAACCATGCAACCGAAACATTTAGCTGTTGGAAAATTAGAATAAAAAGCTATAAATAGATTTTTGTTTTCGATTAGAGGCGACAGTGAATTAATATGTCTGCAGTGAATAATAAAAAGAAAGTATCCGTTACATTGATCTGGAAGAGAAGAAATAAATATTTTATGTTCGTTTAAAAAGATTAAGTTTTTGATTTATTTTTAAATGTAATTCTATTAATAAAAATCAGCTTAAGTAATGAAAGATATTTTAAAAGATAGAAAATAAATATGTGTATGCCAATTGTGGCATCACAAATGTACTTGAAAAAAATTGCAAATCTTAATTTCTGCACAATTTTACAATTCAATTTCAATGAAATCATTAAAAATGTAATACAGATTAGTTTCATACGTTAACTTTTGCAATCTGAATGATTACTTCAACAACCTGAAAATGTTTTTTTGTAATGTAACTTTTAACAACCTGAAAATGTTTTTTTAAAAAAAAAGTGACCCGGGTTTGCAAAAATTGCCTGGTAATACTTTGTTGAGCCCTGTTAATTAATATCAGTGCTTACATTTTAATAAAATTGTTCTTTTTGTATTTTTTTTAATTTATTAATTTTTTTAGAAGGTAAAATATTGCACTGTCACTGGTGGCATATGTATATTCGATGATAAACAATTATACTATTTTTAAAGTCCTTAATTTTTCCAAAAAAGTACTTAATTTTTTCAAAAAAAAGTCCTTAAATTTGCTTAATTTTTGCTTTGTTGAAAGAGTGGGAACCCTGTATAAGCCACATACCATAATAATAAGTTTTTTATATTTGATATAATGTTGTAAAAGATTTATTGAACTGCTGTAATTAGGAAATTTGTTTCATTGAGCTGGAAGTATTTTATAACTGTCGTTGAACTGTCGACCCAATTTTTGGGTTTACGACTACTAATGTACAACTCCGTAGCCTTGTTATTTTGAACCCAATCCAGAAGGCAAGGGAACTTCTGGATCAAGTATTGGAAGAAATTTGCCTTCGGGGAGGACTTTTTGATGGAACTAACCTGCATATGCGTTACATGGAGAGGAAGACCTTGAAATCCTCCCATGGGTAGCCTGACGCAAGATTTCTGTGTCAAATGTGTATGCGGTCAAGGAATTTGCAAAATTGATTCTAGCATGGTGGTCATAACCAAAAGTTTGCAGTTTTTATTCATTATTGTAAAGTCAGCAGACTTTTCAATCATTTCGCATCTGTACATTTCTTGTGCTTTTATTTTGCAAAGTACCATACTTTAGCGATTCTCTTAAAGAATTCTTCTTTCCAAGTAGTTGTTATTAAATCTATAAAGGAAGTAAAAAGACAAGCATTGAGAGGTTTAGCTGAAAAAGTTGTTAAATTTAAGAAATAAAATAATTTTTTGAAATTTATTACCAAAATATATTTATATGTTTCTTTAAAAAAATAAATCTTTAAAAAAAAAGTTAAATTAAGCATTGTTTAGTTTTTAAGATAAACATTGTAACTATGCAATCAGATGATTAAAATTGATTTTTTTCAATGAAATAAACTAATATATTTACCGAAGTCCTTTTTAATTTAAATCAAATGTTTATTTATTTTTTTTAAAATAAAACTATTTAATATAATTATGGCTCCTAGTCTTTATTATTACCCTGTTTATAATCAAATTTTAAAAACAAATTTGAGAGAATTTTTTGTCTCGTCATATTTTTTCTGAAAATTGTTTAAGCCAACTTTGAAACCAATCTCTTTGTTTGATTTCATAGACTAGATATCAATTCCAAATGTAGGCAATTAAGTCTTTTTGATATTTTATATTCTTTGTTTTAGATAATTTAACCAAAAAAGGGAAGTATCGATGAAAAAATCTAAAGAATTAAAATTTACTCTTAGATACCATTAAAACTCTAAATACTATTACATTTAACCTCAGAATAAACCAAATGATATTAATTCTTAATTTTTTTTTCATTTTATATAATTACTTGTTATCTTTTTTCTTTCAGTTTTGTCAACTGCAATTTAAATAATTAGAAACATGAAAAAGTATAGAAATGCCAACTGCCCTTCTGATGGTACATATTCTATTTTTTCAAAAATGTTTTATATTTTTCCCATATTCAGTCTGTCATTTTTATTATTTTAATTTTCATTATAGAAGAATTTGTACAAAGTGTAGTAAAAAATAATGTGACTGATAACATAATTATTAATACTGTATTTATTAATTATCAATAATAATTTTTACTGTAAAAGGGAATGATTTTTGCTATATTCCGAGGCAGTGTTAAATTGTAAAACTGCTGTCAATTCAATGATTTGTGATCCATGTTATTCTACAATATGGAGAAAAAATTATTGCAGATATTTTTCCCTCAAAATATTTTCTTATTTCTAAATATTAGAGTTTTCTTTTTTTTTCTTCCAATCTATTGATCAACAAGATTTACCAGATTAACGTTTTTTTTATAATGAAATCAGCACAATTATAGAGCTACGATAATGCACAATTTAAAATCTGCGTGCCTTAATAAAAATATTGTATTTTTAATACTATGTGGGAATGCATAGCAATAAATGCCAAAAAATAGAAAGAAATAATTGCATAAAGTGATTTAAAAAAAGCACTTAAAATAACGCGGAAATCGGCACAGAGTGCGTCAAAAAGTTATTATTTAAGTGACAATTTGAAACTTGATTGTCAAATAATAAAAATATGGCATTTTCGAAACTTGCTGAAAAGCGGAAATAACTGCTTAAAAAATTATTTAGATTTACGAGAAATCGGCAAAAAAGTGATTATTTTATGGCAAGATCCAACTTCGAGATTCATAATATATTAAAATATTAAGGTTTTATATATTTTTAAGGTTAAAACTATATGGAAATACGATGTTTTCACAGCCACAAAATAACTTTGGATTCACAATGAAATTAGCTCAAATAAATTACATCAAAAGTGATTACTTAAATATGCGATTTTAAACTCAAGTGTCGTAATAATATCAACGTAAAAATACAGGATTTCCAAATCATATGGAAAAACATAGAAATAACTAGAAAAATTCTTCAGATTTACGATGAAATCGGTACAAAGAAAGCATATTGAAAAGTGATGATTTAAATGTGTGATTCAACTTCAAGATTGATAATATTATCGTATTAAAAATTTAAAGAATTTTAAAACTTTGCGATAATACTGTTTTATAACTGCCGAATTATAATTGAGAATGTTATGATGAAATCTGCAGGAATAAATCATCGGAAAATTGCAATTGATAACTCGAGAGTCATAATATTGTATAAAACGTCGCTTGGATTTATGATGAAATCGGTAAAAATAAAGGGAGTCAAAAAATTATTATTGAAATTTGTGTATTGTATTAAAAATATTAGGTTTCCTTAAACCATGTGAAATTCCATGCAATAACCATGATAAAAGCGATCTAGAAAAAAAAGTGCAATTTTAAATTCTCAATGTTTTTTTTTAAAAATTTTTGGAAGAAAAAAATTCATGGCGTTAAGAAACTTCCACGGGCCCCACATTAGCAGTTGGTGAGTCGTAGGTTGTGTACCCTTATGCATATGGAGAAAAATTTGTCTTTTTCTTTTAAATGTTCTGAGCATGCAATGTGTGCAACTGAATTTGTTATTGAGAATGATCCCATGTAAAGACAATATCATTTATGCAGTAAAAGCAATGGTTTGAGGCAGACAATTAGGAATCATGAACCTAAAACTTGCAAATATACAATATATTTATTGTTTTACAGTGTGATAATACGATATCAATAATTTGTAATGAATATAATAAATAATTTTTCATTTTACCTTCAATGTTAATTTTTTTTTTTTTATACCTGATCTACACTACACATATTGGATCTATTTGATCATATATTACATTTTAAAGCCTTGTCATAGAACATCACTACAGCAGACAAATCAGCTTGTTTCATAGCCTTTTTTTCAATCAACTTTTTTCATTATTGATGCATTTTTAATGTAACTACATTGTGGAAATATTTCATAGGTTTTTGTATTTTATTTTTAATAGTTACAAGATTACTATACCATTACTATTTTTATATACTATTACTATATATATATATAAGATTATTATACCATTGCTATATATTTAGTATGATATGTATTTAATTTTTGTTACTAGATTGCCTTACACTTGACTCCTTTCATATGTTATTTTTTTAGACTTTATGACTAAATATAATTTAGACTTACTGTTTTAGACATAAGTACTTAAGTTAGTTTGTTATTAGGATGACTAATAAGGTATTTATGAAGATGATACAGTTTTTTATTCTTTTTTACTTATGTGTGACATTAATATTTTACATTAATATTTTAAACTTACTTTGAAAATATACTTTTTCAGGCGATTTGTCCACACAATCTCATAGACGTTTCGAAGAGGCATGTGAAATGATACAAAGAAATGCATCAAAATTTATTGACCAAGAATGGGCCGAATCATCATCAGATGAAGAAGATGAGGTTGATGTATCTGTTTTACAAAAAACTTGGTTAAATTATAATGGTATGTCTAAAATATTTTATTATAAAAAAACATAATTTATCCTGTTCTTGCAATAAAAAATATGCTTTTAGTTACAATAAAAGACCAGGACCCTTTTTTTCTCTTGCAAGCCTAAATTATTTCCGTGTAATCATAATTTTTCTTTTGATTTGAGAAATGTGAAGAATTTTTTAAACTAATGTATAAGGCTTACTTTAGTTATTCTATTTAGTTATTATAGGGAAGAAGGGGCTAGTGTAAAAATATAGATAGGAGGGACATCTTAAATAACTTTTTTATTTATTGGTCAAATTTCCTTTGTGAAATATCATTGATGTGCACTTCCATGTATAATTACATAATCACACTGTTAATACTTTAGTAGAAATTTGTAAAAGAAGGTTTTTAAAGTGCAAAAGTAATTCTTATATTCTCTCTTTACTCTGCTTATTAGCATATTTTATCTTCAGAATTTAAATAAAATTGTGATGTGATGTTATAAACTATACTGTTTTTCTTTTTTACCTATTTTGATGTTAACTTTTTCTCTGTATAGTTTCAACTAACTAGCGTGAACATGTCTATGTTGGCCCCATTCAACTTCCAATGGAAGAAATATGAATTGGGTACAAACGTAACACATTTGATCTTATTTATTTTCTAAATTAAAATGCTAAACCTTTAGAAATAGTTCTTATCTCAAGTAAAACAGTTAGGGTAAAATTTTTCTATTAATCCATGTTTTAAAAGTTTTAAGAAATATGTTTTATCAAGTTTGTTAAAAGAATATTATTCATTAGAGATGACTTAAGAAGAGTACAATGTTTATATTGTGTATTCAATTTTTGTCATACATTAAACTGAAGCAGAACAGCAGCAAGCTGTACAGATTTCTCTTTTATGTAGTGAAATTTTTTAGTGTAGTGAAATGCTCATTTGCAAATTAGTATTTTAAATATACTAATATTTATTCTGCAATAAGGCTTAAATTTAAATTAATTTCATTTTGGCTTTATACATACACATTATCCTCATCAGCCCCGTGTAACGGAGCTAGTGTGGACGAACACAAACTTTTTTTCAAAAAAAATATTATGGAAAAATTATAAACTTTGTGATTTGAGAAATAAACCAGAATGCAGATAAGTGCCTAAATTAATGTTAGTAAAAATACTCCATGAATTTAAAATTATTCTAAATATGGATTTTTGACAAATTTGCAAAAAATCTCTGCATTAGCCCTTCTTTTCCCTATTATTTACCTGATGTATTAGAATTGTATGCATAACTTAACTTTTAAAATGTAATTAGTTTCCATATTGTTTAAATTTTTTGCAACTGGGTTGACAATTTATTGAATCCAAGCAAATCTTAAATTATCTGCTTACAAATATTATAAATTATCATACCTGCTATATTATTACTCATGTTCAGAAATTCATTTTATTCCCAAAAATTGAATGTTATTAAAATTTGAACAATTGCATTGTAGGAAAATTGTAAGTTTTGTTATGTACTTACTAGTATATTAAAAGCTTTTAGTTTAACTTTTTAAATATTAATGACAATATATTTAATTAAAATCACCAATACATCAATTACTGCTAAATAATTTCATATTGCAATAGAAAAAATTAATAGCTCTATCTATATTTAACATTAAAAATGATTTGATAACATCTTTACAGTTTTTGTGGTTAAGTTTATCCATTGTTATCATACTAGTCAGAACTAGTCTTTGTTAGGCGAACATAATATGCAAGATAATTAAATAATTTTATTTTATAAGGAAAAGTGTTGGAGCACTCATACTAAATTTGTAAACTATTATTATTTTGAATTTTATATGTAACTGTCAACTCTAACTTCATTGTTGATTACTATTCTTTGCTGTGGTGGCTGAGTGCTGACATATGACTGGGACTGTGAAATAGCTTTAATGATTGAGAGTAGACATGCAGCCACTAAGATGGTAAAATAATGACATTTTCTTCAAAATTTTTAAATACTTACATAGCACCTAACTTTGGAATTAAGGTGACTAAAAAGAAAGGGAAAAAAGTGATATACAACTGGACTATTATTATTATTACAACACAAATAGAGCTCCATTAAGAGCAAGCAATATCTATATAATAAACTAATATACAGCTATTATTACAGATAATGAGCACAAAAACTTGCAAAAAGTCAAGGACTATCTTCAAGAGATCATAACCCATGGAGCCATAACTTGTTTGATATGTATTGAAAGTGTTGGTAAAAAGGAAAAGGTATTTGAAATAATATTATTTTACTGACTTCTAGTATAAAAATCTTGATATATTAAAATTTTCAAATAATTGGAAAGTAAAATTTTTCTCCAATTATTTTTCCTGTTTTTAGGAATTGCAGATAAAATATTTTGATGGTGTTAAGAAGTTTTGTATTTGTGATTATTAATCTAATATATAGTTTTACACTTAAAACTTTATCATCAGATTTTATACACCATATGCCTTATTTAAACTGGAAATATGCTTTACTTGTAACTGTGTTAACTATGTGAATATGAAGTTCTTATGAAATTCACTTGAAGTTATGTGTACTTAATTTAAACCTTTTTTGAAAATAACCTTTTTTTAAAAAATATACCTGAAACTTTCGCATAATGAGCTTAGTCATTCTCAGGAAAAGTCACCTGATATTTATAAGAAAATGATAAATTTTTAAAATTAATACAAATTAGTTAAAAGCTAATAAAACTTATAGATATTATATTACAAATTTTGTAAAAAAAGTATTAAACTTATTGCTCAAAGCTTGTCCGTGGAAAATAGACTGTCCCTCCTCACTCTTTCTCGCATTTCCAGACTATCACAGGAACAGGGTGCCTAGCATTTTAAAAAAGTGCTTAAAGATGCTTATTTTTTTTAACTTTTTTAAAAGCCCTTAAAGGTGTTTTTTTCTTTGGGTGTTTTAAAAAGTGCTTAATTTTCCCTTTTTCGAAACGAGATATTTTTCCTTTATCATGTTGATTTTCGCCACAAATTATGCAAAAAGACATTGTTCTTCTCAACGTTATCACTAATTCAACCCCAATCTATTTTGGTGTACCGTCAGTCTATTTTGGCAAAGTGTATGAAAACGCCAATCATTTTGTATGTTTGATGAAATACTTGCAAGTCTGCATGTGTGTGTACTGAGCAGGATTCAGTGCGATTGATTTTTGCCCCCTCCATGTGCAATTCAGCATTTTGCAAGAGATTCTCAATTTCAGGCTTCATTTGCCACCTTCGGAAATTGAACCAAAATATCTCGAATTTTCGTTGATTATGGGGACCAACTAAACTTTGCTACATTTTTTTCTCTTAATAGCGTCTATCGTTTTACTAACATGTTAAAAAATTCAAGTTATTTAATTTTTACTAGACAAACATCAATTCTTAATGCAGAAAATTAGGAGTTTTGTTTTCCAAATTGTCTCTTGCATTTTTTAAATTTTAAAATGCATGTTGAACTTATAATGAAAAAGATAAATTACATAAAAATAGTGCCTTTTTAAGAATATTGTATTCTTGTGTTTTTTCCAGCTATCTTTGAACTTGATTTCTATACTATATTCTATACTACTTATATTCTATACTATTACTATATGTTAAAAATTTGTCCTATATTAAGTTATGTAACTTTAAATTAGGGTTCATTAAACTGATTATAAACAATTTTAATTTTTTAAGTACCTGGATTACATGCTTTTATGTTTAATTGCTAAATTGTTTGTATGACATTTAGACAAGCTGGAGTGCTCAAACTGAAGCTAGACTTCTGTGCGTTAATACAATACAAGTTGTACTAACTTTAATATTAATACAAGTTAAATGCTTTTTAATTATTGTTATAAGTTATATTTATCTAAGTTTTTACATTTTGACTGCTTTCTGACGTTTAAAAAAAAAAAAAAAAAAAAAAAAAAAAAAAAAAAAAAAAAAATGAAGGTTCCAGTCTGTTTTTTTTTTTTCAGTTTGTTTTCTCAAGATCAATAATTTATTATTTGGGTAATAAGTTGAACTTTTTTTCTTCCTATTATACACCTGTAAAACCCACTAAACGCCGTGTGACTAAAAATTTTAATCACCTCGTTGATATAATTTATTTTATGTTTAAGTAACTTATTCAATTTGTGTATACAATCTGAACACCAAAGCAGTCTGTTAAACATAAAAATATACATTTATTATTATTTATTATTTTAATTTTAGTAGTTATGTTATTTTTTTCCTCTTAAAATTTTATACCTTTTTTTCAAAACATCCTTATTAATGACTGTTACTTAAAAGCTTAGGGGAAAATGTCTAAGAAGTAATACAAAAGATTAAAGGATTAATTTAGAATAAATTATAAAATACTAGAATTACAATATTCTGTAAACGGATAAGTAACATCTTATTAAGAAAAATGGCCAAAAAGTATAATGGTAAATAGATTGCGTTGTCGAAATAAGCCTAGACTAATAATTAACCTGAAAGAAAAATAAATAGATGCTGAAAAGAAATGGATTGCTTTGAGTTAAAAAATACATGAGACAGATAAAACAAATACTGAAATGTTCAAACTCACCATGTTTATTCTCACTAAATTATTAAAGAAAATGTAAATTATAATATCATTAACAAAAATATCGCCACACAGGCCATCACTTGTAGATTCAATTTTACACAAATAAAGATGAAAAAGGATTATCTTCTCACAAAAGAAATTGTCGGCATCTTAAATCTTTTACAACAGGACTGCATGCCTCCCTGATGCACCGAACGTACATCAAGGGGCCCAAAATCAACTTCGAATGAATGTTTTAAAACAGGGGGAAAGAAAAGAATCCCTCACTCCCACGCTGCCATTACTTTTTGTTGAATTCTGTGGCACTTCGGGAACTCAGCTGACTGGTGTCGCTGCTGGGAAAATTCAGCCTAACCTCGTGACGTCAGTTCTCCAAAGCTGCTCCTCGAGATAATCTGCTCCTTTAGGATCAGTCCATGCAATTTCTTTCTTGTTGCAAAGCAATACTTCTAGTCTTACATTTTTGCAACTTATGTCTTTCACTCAAAGAAATTTTTTAAGATTGTTAAACAATGTTTAACAATCCTATTTCAGAAAAAAAAATATTTCTAACTTCTCTTTATACTGTGATGACTAATGACTTGCAGGAATTAAAAATGTCTTTACTTTCTCTGTAAATCTTAGTTTATTGATAATAAAGTAACAAAGGAACAGTTTTTTTATAAAAAGTTTTGTCTGTCTTGATTTTAACTAGTTCAATCTGATCTGTGACATTTAAACCTATAACTTCTGAAATTTTGAGACTTTAGAAACATCTTAAATTTGACTAATATTTTTTAATATAATATACATTTAAAAAAAAACAACTCTTTTTTATGCAAACTGCAAAAATTATTAAAATAATTAATAAATTAAAAAATAAATAATTAAAAAATTAATAATTATTTCTCACAGTCTTTTGTCGAAACTATGTTTTGATGGAAGTCCTTTAACAATTTAATGTTATTTTTAAAAGTGATATGCCTAGAAAAATTATCAGTGTGTTCAATTTATTTATTTTAGATTTGGAACTGTCAAAATTGTTATTGTGTACTACATTTAAGTTGTATCATGAAATGGGCTAAAGATAGTTTATACTCAAGCAACACAGATGAAAAAAAGTCCTTTAAATGGTCATGGTTTGTAAACTTTGTTTTATAATAGTTTTATTACTTTAATGTAATTTTGCTAATAACAGTAGCTTAATAAATTTTTAAAATTAGTTTCTGTTAAAAGACAATGCAATCAATGATCATTATAACAGCCACAGTGATCCAAACAACAATGGATGTTATAACATGATGTTATCAGACTATGTGAACACAAAAATATTGTAAATATTTACTCATAACTAATAAATTATGGAGTAATGTTTGCGAAACCACCCAACAAGCACAAGACTTTTGGGCTAGTGAAGGGACAATGTCGACTCACCTAAAGTGCCATTACGGCGGGCTTTTCATTGCTGCATCGGTTCCATAAATAAAGTGAAATCTGGGCCAAAATGAGGGCCAGTGCATGGCAGTTCAGGCAAACTTCTGGCAATCGTTAAAGGACCGGAACTACTTTGTTACCTCTGGATTGCTTTGCCATTTTTGCCTGTTAAATACACCGGGAGAAAAAATTTATTTCACAGAATAAAGAGAAAATTGCCGTAAAGACTTTTATTGTACCTTTATGATGTCTTTTTTGCCTTTTTATTGAAAGCTGAATATGTTCACTGGCACACCTCGTTGCCTCGCTTGCCGTTAAGGCACCTTTGCTGAAGGCTGATTAGAAAACGTCTATGCCGTTTTCGCCCGTATCGCACCTTTATTTCAGGTGCTTAAGCGAACTTCTTTGTCTTATTTGCTGATATACCACCCTTAACTCACCTCAACACCTTTATTTTAGGTGTCTCGGCAATTATTTTTGTCACTTACTTGCTTTTATTAGAACTTTTCATAGCTTTAAATTTGAAAGACTTTTTGCTGCATGTTGTTGATAACAATTCTTATTTAGGGAACCTAAAGTGTTTTGTTTTACTCTGCTGATATCAGCGATAGCAATTTATTGTATTTTAACTTTTTATATTGTAGTAAAACAACAACTGTCATTCCATGCAAAATTTTTTATGCTAATATAAAAAGCAAAATGGTGGAAATTTTTTTTAAATTTATAATCAATTATCTTGCCAATGTATCTTCTTACAATAAAATAGACTTTTTAAAATTTCATTTTAATCAATTATAAGCGCAATTACTAAAAGTAAAAGCAAAAAAAATTTTTTTTTAGAATTGAGTGCTTAAATTTCTTTAAACATTATGAGATAGGTGAAATTAAGTACAAATTTTTATTCTACTAGATTTTTATTCTAACATAATACAACTCCATATATAAATTATTTGCGTTTTGAAAATAATGCTTATATATTTAAAACCTACAACTAGCTTTTCTTGATAGAAGCTTACACACTAAAGCTTATTTATCTTGTAACTATAAGCTCATTTATCAAGTTATTAATTTTATTAAATATTAGATAAAATAAATATATCTTAAATATTTTTTCAAAAAAAAAAGTGTGCTTGTAAATACCCATTTCATAATTTTAAATAAATAAAGCAAGAATTTTAACAACAATAAAATGCTTAAAGCATAAAATAAAATATGACCTTAGGAAAAGAATTTTATTGTGCATTGCAGAAGCTGTACTTCTCAATGAATCCAGTTTTCCTGCAAAAAATAAAGCAATTTATTTTACTATACATAGATTAAATGTTTACAGAAACAAAATATCGAAAAAAAAAATCATTGATTTAAATCAACTGATTTTTTAAAAGCCATTGATTAAGACAAGCTGAATTTTTTTCACAGAAATTATTAATTTGATTATAAAAATATGCTATAGAATTTAATTAATAACTGTATTCTTTTTTTTAAAGGTCTGATTTCAGTGATAATGATAGTATTTCGCTAAGAAATAATAAAAGAGATATGCATGTATAAATTATTATAGTCATACATCTCTTTAATAATTACCCTTAAGAAAAGCATTGATTTAAAGAAGCAAATTTGGAAAAAATCAATTACTTAAATAAACTGATTATTTAACTATTATAAGTATAAAAAAATTTTTCTTCTATATAATTAAACATTAAACATTATTTAGAGTATGTTTTAAAAGTGTTTTTTTTTCATTAATAAGGTTATTTACTAAGAATTGATGAAAGGGATATGCAAGCAAATTATTATTTTATAAAATAGATTTGATGCCAAAGAAACATTAAAATTATCCACATTTATTTTTTCGATTATAAAAATGCAGTTCAGATATATAGCTTATGGATATCAAGACTCATTCTACCCAAGGTAACTTAAAACATTTTTTTTCAACAATGTAGTCTGACCAAAACTAATTTAATCTGCTTTAGATATCTAATTGAGAAATAGAATAGCAAACTATAACATTCATTAGAAAGTTGAGCATGAAAAACAGAACTATGATTCTATTTATTTAATTATTAGTTTTGTGATAAATAATTTTAGAAAGTTAGAAATTTCTCTTAGTTCGAAATTTTAACTATTGTAGCTGTAATAATATTTTAAAGTAATGTTTAGTGTTATTAAAACAATTCATTCGACGTCTTGAATGGTGTAGAAAAAATATCTATTAAAGAAACAATTTAAATAAGATATCTTTTTCATAAAGATTTTCTTAAACCCTGCAATTTATTAACAATATTTATATTTTATTTTATTTAATGTGACATTATATTAATAACCAAATAGCAGGTACATTTTACATTTATCAGCTTACTGTAAAAAAGAAAAAACAATTTTTAAAAAAACGTCTAATTTGCTCTAAATACAATAAGAGCAAATTTTAATGAAAAAATAACTAAATATACTTTTTTTTTAATTCCAGAAACAAAGTTTTGAATAATTTTTCCAATTCTCTTAATGAGCAATTCGTAACAGTTTGAGATAAATAATTCGGAAATTTTAATAGTACTGCTCCATAAAAAATAGCCAGTATCAATTATTTAATTTTGTTTTATACCAATATTTATTTAAAATCTGCAATTAAATTCACGACCTCTTTACTTTTAAGTGGGGTCTCAATAATTTTGAAACGAAAGCAAAGTAAATATATGTGTTTTAGCATTTATATTCAAAAGTAATTTTCTGTATGAACTATTAATTAAAATTATATATATATATCGGAAATACAAATCTTTCGATTATTCAAACTAATAGTTTTATGAACTGCATGAGTATTAGTAGAAAATGTGATGTTCTGAGCACAGGCACATCAGAAATCTGAGCTAAAAGTTAAAATAATATGAGAATAAATTTTTTTATATCAGGAATTCAGAATTTCAGGACTACTAGCTCTGATATTATTTAACTCATTAATAAATCATTATGTTAAAATAAATGGGGGGAAATTTATGCTTTATTTATAATTAAACCATTAGTATTAAAACTTAATTTTGGTATATTTTTTTCATATCATTTTTTTACTTTTTCATCAAATAATTATAATGCATCATGTAATGTGTAACAAAACACTTTTTAATTATCATTCATATAAAATATATATGATATATTGTCTTAAATATAAATTTTTTTTTATTAAGTTCTGAACTTGATTTGATTTGTAAAATAAGTTCAGCATATCACTTTGCTGTTTAAACTAAATGTTCAATCAAATATTTTTTAAATAATTATAAAAGAAATTAAATAAAAATTAGTGATGTTGTTTAAGATTGNTTCAAAATCTGACCATGTTCTTCACCCAAATCAGAACAAGCAAATGCCAATGTTCAATGGGTTGCCAATACTAAAAAACTAAATTCTCAAAAAAAATTATGATAAATTATCAAACTTCAAACCTTTCTAATTCAGAAAACATACAAACTAATAACATTATTCTCATCTGAATTTTCCAATGCTTTTCCCCCTTTTCATGGAATTGCCCTACTTCTGAGTGAAATAAACTTAGAAATCAAATCAGAGTAAGATATTTTTTAGGTTAATATGATATTAGAAGTTAATTACATACTGATAAACTTCTTTAAATAATTGAACAAAGTAGGAAATACATAAATTCTGAAAATAAACTAAATTAAAGATATGTTTAGGACTTATTTATTAACTGATTTAAAAGAGAGAACAAAAAATGAAATGATTTAAAACCTTGTATGATAGTTTTTTTAAACTGCTATTTAATTAAGTAAAAAAATGCATCAGCCTTTAAGCCCAAATTTAATACAAAAATTTCGAATTCATGATGTGTTTACAAATTAAAATCTTAGCGTGGGCTTTAAACTTTTAATTGTTTTCATGTATTTCTTAAAAAAGTTTTATTTTTCTAAGTAAAAAGATATTTGTTAAAATAATTTCTTTAATACATTTAGTGCTGGCGAAACTTATGGAAAAACTAAATGTTACATAATATTAACATTTTCAATAAAACAAAATATTTAATTATTCATTTCTAAACTTATATAGTTACTTTAACAGTAAAAAATAATTTCTTTTCAAATTTTGTTTTCTAACTAGTTTAAAAAAATAGAATGATAAAATTTTTTTTTATGACAGGCAAGTAATGAAAACAGAGGAAACAAATACTGAAATATCATGCAAAATTGTTAGCACATCTTTATACCTTTAAAAAAAATTTATGCGTTCATATAGCACATTTCTCATTTAATACAAAACCTAATTAAAAAATTACTTAACTCTATAAGAATGTTGTAATACTATCAATATAGAAGCCTATATGAGTAATAAAAACACTTGTAAGCTTAATTTTTAAAAACAAGTTATTTTAATTTTTACAGTGTTGCACTTCTCCTGCTGTTATTAATAAAGACTGTGTTAGAGAAATACATAAAGTAAACTTAATTTTGATAAGCATAATTATTTTTTGCAAATAAAAAATAAGTGATTTAATAAGAAAATATTAATATTTAAATAAAATTCATGTCACTAAGACAAAATATCGTTTCACTATGTTCTTACCTTATTTTCTGTTGCTGATCGCTGGATTAGCATTTCTTGGATCTCTCGTCCTGTCTTTCCATAAAAGAAAAAGAATGAATTAGAATATGATCATAATAAAAACAGTTAAAAATCAACAAAATTAAATCGGTTT